AATGGTTTATTTAATCATAATTCTCATCATAGTGCATTGTTTAAAGGTCACCTATTATGCAAAATCCACTTTTGCATGTCTTTTATACATAAACATGTGTCCCCTCTGTGTAAAGAGATTCTGAAAGTTTCTGGAAAAAAGATTCTCTCACTTTTTGTCCTGATCCATTCATATAAAAACCTGTCTGAAAATGTGCTGATTTTGGCCACTTTATGATGTCATCACGATTCTTTGGCTTGTGTAACCATTAGCCAATCACAAACCAAGGTAACACCCCCACCTTATCACCTGAATCTCCTTAGATATGAGTTATTTTTAACCAAATCTCTCTCAGAGGGGGCGTGGGGAGTGGCTCCTTATTTTCATCTAAGTAACAGACAGAGAGTCAGCACTTTTGAAACAGTAATATATTGAAGAAAAACAGTATAGTAGCGGACCTTTAAAGGAGAACGTTAAAAACACAGCACTGTCTGAGGAACAGAGAGTGAAGGACTTACATTGGTTTTTCTGCGACACCGGGAGAGATTGAGGTACAGAGAGACCCTCAGGTCTTTAAACGCCTTCAGGTCATCACCAAAGCCTTCTCTAGGAAACTTCCTCAGGGCGTACTGGTACCGCTGAGCCGCCTCCTTCATCTTCCCTTTCTGGAGGACACATGGAGGGCAGACATGCAGTGAGGAAGAGGACACAACCAGGAAGGAAAATGTGGGGGAGAGAAGCAGGGCAAAGTTATTCAGCAGATACTCCAGCAATAACTGTTCTGAGGCCTGAGCCCTCCCCGCTCATCAATCTCTCTCACTCACACGCGCACGTGCACGCGCACACGACAGGTTTGTCCTCCTCCCCCACAAACTCAATCTGTTAAATGTCGGACATCGATCATAGCTCCTTTGGTGAGTGGTGCGGAACACACACATCCATTTGTCTTCTGCACCTAACTGAGCCACAACACGAGAGTTATCATTTCATTGTTGGGCTGAGCAATATCATATTGTTTAGTGCTTTCCTTACTGCCAGTGGAAGAAAACAGGAAATCATCTGATAATAACTCAGGCTATATCCACGTCTCTCAGTACAGCTGGTCTGTTTAACATACGGCATTTCATTTTTAAAGGAGAGTGCTCTTTACTGTTGACAGAAAGTGATATCTTTGCCATGTGTACCTTGTAGAGCAGGTTTCCCTCCTCCATCAGCTTCTGGAGCAGGATGATCAGGATGTCGGGCTTTGAAGTAGCCATGGCCCAGGCGGCGTTCCCTGTGGGAAGAGAGGGGGGAGAGAGAGAAGTCCGGAGAGTTATTTTGTTGATACTGGCGGCAACAGGTGCACACTGTATTCTCTGGAAATTGGTACAAGGTAAAGTTACCTAAAGATTGTACCTGATCGATCGTAAGGTGACGTTCTGTAGCCTTAGTTTATTGAAGGCAGTTAAGAAAGAGTCAGGGGGGAAAGAGTGAAGAGAAGAGAGGTCATGCAAAAGAATAGAGTAGTCATTTGTGGTGAAAGGAAAAAGAGTTACAACGTGTAGTCAATAGTGTGTCACTACTTTAAAAGCTGTGTGTTTTCAGTAGTAAATGCATGCAGAGAGTTAACTCTTCTGCCCACTACTCTTTTTTATTTTAGCAGAGAGCACTGGAGATAAGCCGCAGACCCAGATAGCTCTGTGAATGTCATTTAGGTGATAAGTCACATTCTTAAATTAGCCAAGCAGCACATGAGGGAGAAGAGGAATGACACACACAGACATACCAGTAAAAGCGCACACACACACACACACACACACACACACACACACACACACACACACACACACACACACACACACACACACACACACACACACACACACANTTGTATATATCTGAGACCTATAACATATTGATGAAAAACAGTATAATAGGGGACCTTTAAAAAAAAGATCAGCACCACCATTCATTTAGCCTTTAACTATTAGTTAAAGGCTAAATGAATGGTGGTGCTGATCTTTTTTTTAAAGGTCCCCTATTATACTGTTTTTCATCAATATGTTATAGGTCTCAGATATATACAAAGCATGTCTCTGAAGTGTTTGGCTCCAAATACCAAACAGATCATGCAGTGTAGCATCCCATAATCCCCTCTGTTTCAGCCCTGTTTCAAAAGTGCTGATTCTCTGTCTGTTACTTTAGATGAAAATAAGGAGCCACTCCCCACGCCCCTCTGCGAGATGTTTGGTTAAAAATAACTCAAATATCTGAGGAGATTCAGGTGATAAGGTGGGACGGGGTTACCTTGGTTGGTGATTGGCTGATGGTTACACAAGCAAGAAAATTGTTATGACATCATAAAGTGGCCAAAATCTGATCAGCTCATTTTCAGACAGGTTTTGATATGAATGGATCAGGACAAAAACGTTCAGAATCTTTTTTCCAGAAACTTTCAGAATCTCTTTACACAGAGGGGACACATGTTGATGTATAAAACACATGAAGAAGTGGATTTTGCATAATAGGTCACCTTTAAATGTTTTAAATAAGCTGTTTCAATAACAAGAGTTTTATTTGTCAGTGATTACAGAACATTAAAGGGCACCATTAAATGGTTATTTGGGTAGGGATGGACGTCGCCTGGGAAGTATCCTCAATTGTTTTAAAGGAAAAGATACATGTGTGATTAGGTCTGTAGCATGTGGTATGATCAGAGCATGTGTGGGCAGGGGAAGCTTGTTAGCGCTCAGATGGAAGCAGGAAGGAGGCGCACTGGGCAGTCCACTCAAATCTCCTCAAATCTTCTTGTGGAACAATCTCAGATCCTGCCTGTGCCAGCCTGTCTGCTCACTCCAGAGTTTAACTGTGCCGAGACCATTCCTGTTAGTTCTCCCCCAACGAATGAGGAATGAAATGACTATTTGAGAAGGACTGGACATTTAGAAAATGACTGAAACAAACATGGAGAGAGTTCATTTCTAATATTTTCTCTCTTTATTTCTGGATAGTTGTTTCTGCTGAAAAGCTCTTCATGAAAGTTTAGTTACATAAGTCTTACTTTTGACTCTTGTAGCGATCCTGCTGTGAGGTAATTACCTGCCGCAGGAGATCCGAGCGAAAAGGCCACCATGAGGTTATCTGTTGTGTGTTTCCAGAGGAACAGCACCTGGGGGGCCTGCAGGTTATTTAATCACTTAACACACGGAGCAGAGCCGCTGGAGAGATGTTGTGTTGGTCACATTCAGCCATCGCTTAGGTTGAAAATACTGTCCTCAAAACAATACATAAGATATAACAAGCAACAAGGAAACATTGTGTAACCTGCATATTTCAAAATGTTTATGTATGTAAAACAACCACATTGAATATCAACTGCTTAACAATTGTTTTGATGATGTTCCTACTTTAGGACTTTGGGATGGCTGAGGAGTTTGCAACAAAAGCGCTGGAGCTGAAACCCAAATCCTACGAGGCCTACTACGCCCGCGCCAGAGCTAAAAGAAGCAGCAGGTAAATGTTGAGCTCCTGCGGTTGTTCCTGCTGCTGAATTATGCAGTCTGGATCTGGTGACAATTTTCCCCTCCGTTCTCTCTCCGATCCACAGGCAGTTTGCGGCGGCCATGGCTGACCTTCACGAAGCAGCCAAGCTCTGCCCCAATAACCGGGAGATCCGCCGCCTGCTGGCCCGAGTGGAGGACGAGTGCAAACAGATGCGCACTCAGACTAAAGGGGGCCCCGCTGCAGAAGGGGCTTCAGGCCAGGCGTCGGGGGGCCACGAGTCAGACCAGGAGCAGGGCGAGCGGCAGGAGGACCCTTCAGAGCACAGCCTCGCCAGGAGCGTGGAAGGACAAAGAAGCATCCTGGAAGAGGAGGAGGAAGAGGAGGAAGAGGAGGAGGCCTCGCTGCACGACAGGACAGCTGAAGCCTGCTGGTCCCAGAACAGTTATTCCTACAACAGGGTCCTCCCCCCCGAACCTGTCAGCAACAGTTTGGGGCACCAGAGTCAGAGCCCCAGCTCCCCCCCGGGCCCCGGCAGGCTCCCCCCCCACCGGTACCCCCGAGAGCACCGGGAGGCCCAGCAGGGTCTGGTGCTGCAGCCCACCAAGCAGGCCCAGATAGTGAAGACCAACCAGCACATGAGCTCCATGCAGGGAGCGGGGGGGGGCGTGGGGGGCCGGGTCCAAGGGGCCAAATCTCAGTACGGCCCCTCCAGTCCCTTACCGAGCAGACGCATGTCCAGCCTGCTGAAGCCGGGCCCGGGCATCGACATCAGCCCCCTGCCCCCCCCAGCTGAGGAGCCCGTGTACGGGAACAGAAAGTCGCTGGCAGCCGCCCCCCCCTCCATGGGTCAGAGTTGTGAGATGGAGAGCGTCCACTCCTCCCAGGCGTCCTACTCGTCCTGCAGCAGCAGCTCCAGGGGTCCGAGGCAGGACCGCCTGTCTGCCCACTCTGCCTCCTCCCTGGAGGGGTTGGCCTGCTCTGGCCCCGCCCCCCAGGGAAACCACACAGATGTAGGAAAGGATGGGATGTGTGGGGGAGGGGGGGGCAGCAGCATGCGAGTGTCCAGCTCCACCAGCAGCCTGGCGTCCAGCAGCAGTCTGTCGGACAGCGGCAAACTGGGGCCTGACGTCCGAACGAAGACCTCGGAGAAAACCAAGCACAGCCAGCAGGCCAGCTCCGCATCCAAACCCAGACCCTTCATGGGCGTCATGGACAAGAAGGCCCGCTTCCTGCAGCTCCAGCAGCAGCAGCAGTTTCAGCTCCAGCAGCAGCACAGCTTGCAGGGTCACCCCAGCCTGCAGTCGGTGGGCCGCAGCTGGCTCAACCACTCCTCTGACGGTCTGGTTTGTCACAACATGTCGGCGATGGGCCTTCTGCCCGTCGACTGTGATCCGCCTTACGCCAAAACAGTGAGCACTTACCAGGAGCAGCACAAACCTCCGCCACCTCAGGGGGCTATGGCAATGAGCAGCTTACAGAACGGCATGCACGCCAAGGAATTCACGGAGAAATTCTGCCAAGCCGCCAACTGTTACAAAGAGTCCAAGCCAGCGCTGGCGATGGCGCACACGTTCATGGACAGCAAGCCCAAGCAGCCGGGGCTCAACCGAGATAATCCTGCCATTCACGTAGCTTCAATGAAACCAAAGCGATCGTTTATAGAGTCGAACGTGTAGAGATGTTTGTTTTATCTCTCGTACAGCCCTGAACGCACACTAGCAAACATCTAAAGTAAGGAGGTGTTGTTTTTTAACCAACCACCCAGCAGAATAGTCCCACTTTAAGCCTTGTAAGAAGTACAAGCTGTTTGTTTTCCTGTGTGAATACAGACTGCAGGCAGTGTACTAAATGCTCCAGATCCCCCCCCTCCCCCCCAACCTGCCGCTTGTGGCTGTCAGCTTCTGTTACATGACAACATGTCTGCCGTCATTCAGCCAAGCTGGAGACATTGCACTGAAGGAAGTATTTGGACATGTGGTGGACAGTCCTCATCAACGCAACAGTGACAGTGAGCACTTTATACACACTTAGGCCACTCAACACTATTCAGTTACAGCTTAATGTTATTACAAAAGAGATTTGAGTGAGTTTAATGAGGTTTAATCTGTGTTCATTTCGTCCATGATGCTGAGGGAGAAAAAAATGAGGAAGTCTTAAGTGACGGCGCCAGAAAGTGGAAAAGGACGGACATTCCTGTGTTTTACAAAGGATGTTTTAGATCCTCTTGTGTATATTATATAAATATGTATTTTTCCTTATTTTCAGTGAAGATCTATGTTAAGTGTATTGACGAGTTCAGAATTGTGTATTTTGAGTTTTATGCACAATGTTGTTTAAATGGTGTTCTAAAAAAGCATTTGTTAAATGTGTTTGTACATTATATAAATCACCATTAACATGGAAATCCTTTCTGTATCTGCTTGTTGTTGCTGTCTAGTTTAATTTATTTACAGCGCCAATGGCTTGGTTAATTGTAAAAGCAATATATTTTATATAGTTATTTTTGCACAGCTAATAAGACATTTAATGATTCTCAATAATGTTGAGTTTAAGTGTATGCTACAATTGCAGTTTATATTACAGAGTAAAAAAAATCTATAAAAACAGAAGTGGTTTTGGGGCACAGCGCCATCAGCTCTATTTTAATATGTACGTTCAATGCAGTTGTTGCCATGTTTTCAGTATTGTGAGCTTTATTAGCTGTGATCACATACTGTTATAGAACATTGCCGCCATAGCCACCATGGGAGAGAGAAATAAAGACTCACTGAGGAAAAAACCAACTGGTCTGCTGGCTGTTATTTTAAAACTTGAGGCTGCCTAAGTTAATAGAACATTTAATTATCATTGTTATCATAAAGGGAGCTTAAACATTGTACACTTATTAAATCACTGCCCAAAAGTTTCAGGTACTAAAGCTAACATCTGCAGATTCATAACGTGAGACTTTATTGAAAAGTCTAATTTATTTTCAATAGCTTCCATGTCATGTGACCCATTCATTCAAATCAATGCAGAACTGTAATTACTCAAACTGGGCACCTTGCTTTTTACTGGATTTTAGTGTTTCAAATAGCTCATGTCATGTGACCTTTTGACCATATATTAATGCAGCATTGAATAATTGAACATGTAGAACAAACCTTTTTAACGGATGTTAGTCTTCCATCTTAGGCACAACAAGATGATGCAAGCGTCGAAATCGAAAATGATACAACTACTAAACGACTGCAGGAATATCCAATTTATCTGAGATCAAAGATTCAGATTATTTGTCAAATTCATAAAGATACCCAGAACAAAATCTCATTTGCAGTAATTACTTTTTCCAATTATAATAAGAGCACTTGTTATCAGATGAGCAGAGTAAAGTTGGATTCTGACGAAACAAGTTCAAAGGAGCTGCTGTCCACCTGCTCAGCATCCATCGGTTTATTGCCATCCTCAGAAATCTATCAGGGGTGAGGAGCAGCAGGTTCTTCATGGAGCTGGTTTTAATCACACCCATGATTCCTATGGACTCGATTCCATAGGAGTATCTGTCTGTGGAATAGATAAACATTACATGACATGCCACTTGTTATACGCTTTACCCAAAGTGACTTAAATACTGAGCCACATCCTCCCTATCCATATAAACATTGTGACTTTATATACACACTTGGATATGACAGGTGAGTCTGTCTTCGACTCAGTTTGAGACAATGAACAGGTGTTGTAGTATTGTCTTCTCACCTGCCGCTATGACTGGATCATTCTCCAGCTCTCTTGTGATTAGACACAGAAATGTATCAGGGGTGTCTTAACGACTCTTCTCCGACTTTCCGTAGGGAGACGGATGCCCACAGGTTCTGAGAAACCAACCAACTGTTCAGTAAGTATGACTCATAAATACAATAACATCCGACACATTGAACTTCTTATGATATTTTTCAAACATAGTGAATAAGTGATTTGATTCTATCCATTTGTTCATCGTCCAATACTTCACATAAACCAGCTGAACTCTATTTTGTGTTTTTTCTGTGAGTCAGTGAGGCGACAGACTCGAGAGACAGACTTTGTCCTCTGATAAAACAAAGGCAGGAGTAAATCTGGATCTCCACACGATCAATCTGTTGCTCGATACAAAGAGCCAGACCGTCACTGTGAATGTCTGAGGACTTGGTATTGGTTAGTGGTTCAAAAGGGAAAACATTTTCAATATTATACTAGAGAATAAAAACTGAAAAACAGCACAAAAGTGAAAAATAAATCACTCGTCTCTGCCCAATGACTGCACCGTGTGAATTGGTCATGAGCTGCCAATATCACCACCAGCTACAACTGAGGAAGACCTTTGGAGCCACTCATAAGTGAGGAGACGGTGTAGAAATCGATTCAGATAATTCTTTTAATTCGGCCAAAGAAAAAAGAGAATTTCCTCAATACAAAAAATAACACTTTCATAGTAATGTTCGAAAATCACCCAATTTGGATTTTAAAATAATTCCCCACAATACTCCTTTATGTAATAGCCGCCAATGAGTCAGAATTGAATATACCAGGTCTAGTAAAAGACTGGAATCATATTATAAAATAGAGTCTAGAGTATATTTTATAATATGATTCCAGTCTAGAGAACATACTGTATCACCATGTTGCTGAACAAACTGACATTTCCCAGAGAGAGACACTACTGCTACAGACCTCCGATTCAATTGGCTGCGAATGCTAAATAAAACATCTGGTTCTCGCTCGGAGTTTATGACCTTGGCAATGCTGTCAGGAATATCAGAACAAAAAGGGATGCTTTTTGGAAGACGTGATATAACTGCAGTATAGGTTAGAGCTGCATCTGATGAATATGTTGACACACAAGAGTTGTGGATAGATTTGGTGCAGTTTTATTTTTAAATCATTGTGTAGGTGAATTGAATTAAATGCTATCATGGTGAACACTCCAAAGCTTCAACCTCATGATAAATAGGGGTACATAATCAGCTACTGTTCGTTGGGGACCAGCTTGTTCTCTTACTGCGGCTTTGAATTCGTACTCTTGCACTTATTCATAATGCAGAAATGCAAGATAAAGGGATGAAAGCATTCAAGCACACCTTACAAAAGACTGTCTTCCTCGCACTGTGAACTCCGTTCCTCGCCTGCATTCACAGTCTTCATCTTCAAGTAAAACAGGCAGATGCTGCTGTCGCCATCATAAATGCTTTGAATCCTACGAGGAAAGTGACGTTGCTCAATCAAAATGTCTTCTCTCGATGAAACACGTTGAACCTATTAAGTCTTCCGATTCATCCAATAAATTACCCTTGGATAGAAAAACGGCACTTAACAGCTCAATGGGATTTAAGATTTCCATAAGTTCCAGCATTTTTCATGGGGGCACAAGCCATTAGTGCTATACGGTCCACTTTACATTTAGATTGATAATTTGATGAGACGCTACAAGGAAACTGCAGAATGAGGCTGTCTCCACAGAGATACAGCGAGCCATTTCCAACAGGAACTTTTTCCTTCCATGCCCTTACTCAAAGATTCATGAATATTTCATTAAGTAAAGTGTGCTGGAATCTAATTTGGGTGTGTGTTCTATGTGGAAGTAAGTGTGTGTCTATGCACGCATAGAAATGATAGTTGTTGGTACACAACTCAAATAGGACAGGAAATGTGGCAATGGGCTGTTTCCTGTGTCCTTGTTCTGTGGTAATGATGAGCAATCCTCCATACTAAACACATGGAGAGAGATGCTCACTCCTTAAGACACGCTTTGCATTGCTGAGCAGCATGCAGGGGAAGTTTTTTACAATGTCTACTGCTGTCCAATTAAAGCAAAGTAAACCGCCAACAAGGCGTTTGACTGTGATTAAAGATGGGACAGTGATGCAGCTGCTTACATGATTACAGTCTGCACAATGTACTGTAATCAGAGTGAGGTCATTATGGCATTCATGTCAACTGTCTGCTACATTCAAAACAGAATGAAAGATGTGCTTAAGTTAAACTGCATACCAAGCGATAACAAATGAAAGTAAATTACAACTTTCTGTGCTAAACTTTTTGTAAAGTATAATGAAATCCAGAGATCAAATCTAATAATTCAACAATAATTGAGGTTTATAAAAATGTCACTAATTGTATATCATTATTTTGGCTTGTATTTCTGCTGGTAGGAATAAGTTGCCAATTACAGAAATGGGCTATAAGTCGTCACATGCACAGTTGTGGCACAAGTGTCTGTACAAACATGTCTCTTTGTAAAAGTACAGAATGATGGTACCATCAGCACCAAAAAAGGAACTTATTTTGCCCAAGATCTCACTTTTTACATGACATGTTACATGTTAGACGGTTTTATCCAAAGCGACTTACATACTGAATACTGTGGGCAATCCCCACAGGAGCAGTTTGGGGTGTCTTGCCCAGGGACACAACGTCATGCTGACTGCATTGGGGTTTGAACCTGTGACCCCCTGATCCCCATACCAAGGCTCTATCCACTGCGCCAGGGCTGGGGAACAATAGTCTTGCAAGGGGGGGTGAAGAAGGAAGAAGAAGGGGGGAGAAGAAAAAGGAAGAAAAAGGGAGAAAAGAGGAGAAAATTCTCCTGCTCCCAATTTCCCTTCTGTAGCATTTAAAAGTGTTTATATACAGTAGTGTTTCAAAAAAAGTATGTATTTGTTTATTTCTTGAGGCGGAAAACACATCCACAAGATTGCAGGATTGAATCCCAACTCCGTCAGTATTGAAGTGTATAATATATAGAACATGAGAGGAATAAAAGTGCTTGTGTTGCATATCTTAACATTAATTAATTAGAGATATTGACTGATAAGACTTGTGTTATACAGTTAACTATTAATACATTTCTATTAAATATTAAAACTTATTTACTTCTTTCAAGTTTATTAAATACTTTTTTTAAATCAGGGATAGTTTTTAAGTCACCGATATGGATTTTTATTGAAGCTCATTGTTTGTGTGCTGTGGATAAATAATAAAAATATAACCATTACATTAATATCAACTAAGGTATAGGTTTTATAATTATTTTGTTTTTAGCTTTCGAACAGTTGAACGAAAAAGTATAGAAATTGTAAACATAGCACTCCACTACAATTATTGGACAGACACTAGGCATACTTGAAAAAGCCAAACCTTTATTTTATGTTAGTTAAACATAATAACATTTAAAACAGTAGTAAAACGGTATAACAAAATAATGATAATAACACTCTTAAATAGAAGATAAAATTACTATATACAATTTATACATAAGATATATACACACATAACTATAAAACTGTAAACCAAACTATATACATAATTAAGTGTCAATGCCTATGGGGGCGGAAACACTTGTCACTTTTTGTTCCTCATGTCCTTCAGCCACTGCTCCTTTGGCAAAGCCTCAACCAAGGGGCAGTAAACAACTCCCTTGTACTTGTTGTGTCCAGTTTCCGCTGTGCGAAACTTCCCACACTTTTTGCACGTGTTGTGCACAACCTTGCGGGTCAGCTTTCGGGTGGTTGGAGCAGGAATAGGAGCAGGAAGAACAGAGGAGAGGCTGGCATTCGGAGCCTGTGTGGCGGGGCCGTCGAATCGCTGAGTAAGTGCGGAAGTAAAGGAGGGCGGATGTCGTTGAGGACGGAGAGCCGTAGTCGTTTGGTAGGGAGTTGTTCTGAGGTCGACACAGGTCTTGCGTCCCGCGGTCTGAGGAGTGGGTTGTGGTTTAGTACCGTAGTGTAGTGGGGCCAGGAGTTTCTTGAGGTGACCCGA